CACAGGATGCCAAATTGTTCGTCCATTTGGGCCCAATCTCGTCTTCACCCCACTGTAGATGGTGGGCGTTCAAAGCCTCTATAGCCACAGAAAGACTCCAAAGCAACAGGGAAGGACAGGACCCACGGAACCAATGTGAATCGCATCTTCTGGGGTGGTGGCCATCGCTAGTAGGTTGGAGGCCATCCCCAACACTCTCTCGCGCTCGTTCTAGGCCGAGAGAAATCTCGCACATCCCATGACACCCGTCACTCATGTGTGACGCGAACGGCCTCAGCTCTTGCCTGGGCTATTTGGGACGAAACATCCGTTTGAAAGGGTCATGGGGAGGCGGCATTCTCCGGCAGGGTGTCAAAATCTATACTCTTCCTAGCTTCTGAAGCCACAAGTCGTGGTTTTGATGTGCGGGGTTCTTGGAAACAACTTTGGAGGGAGACATGCACAGAATACATTTCGACCGTCTCCAAAAAAGCATGGCCTGTGGCACAACCCCTACCAAGACACGTGATCCTGTGGGCAGTGGGCTGGTCTGGGATCATCAAAGGTGGTGACAGCGGCACGCTGGGAACATCGAAGCAAAAGAAATCGCTGCCCAAAAAGATGGACGCAGGATGTGGTCAATAGGCACTTCGATTAGGGTGTCCTGGAATCGGATGGAATGCCGAGGACTAGCCGCTGCCACAAGTGTCCGAAAACTGTTTTGCCGTAGAAGTGCCAGCAATTCAAAAAAGCAAATGCAAATGCCTGCTCCTCTCTAAAGAAGGGCCAATGGCTTCCTGGCCTCCTATCATAATGTATAATATATCATTTACTTGTCTGCAATTTCCTGCACTCGTGCTGAACTAAAGTCGTTTCAACAGGGCCGGTGTCATTTTCCATGGGCGTTCGAAAGGAAACCCATGCGTGCTTCTTCCGTTGAACATCCATTGAACAGCTAGCTTAATTAACGTGTCCACTGTCACATGTTCATCCCACATATCCTCCCTCGAACACTCGCGGAAGTGGACCATAGGCCTGTAAAAAACAAGAGGGTGCTGTTCAGCTTCCACCATTGAACAATGCGGGCATCTTGACATTGGAATCTAAACGCTTTTGTGGCCCCCCCTGTGTTCTCACCGTCTGTGTGCCCCAAGTCCGGGCCTTTGAGCATCTCCTGAGGTCCGGCGAGGTCTCAAAGGATGAGGAAAAGACACACAACCAATGGATTTTGCTTCTTCCAGAGGGTCTTTGGGAGGTCTCCCTATTTGAATACCATCCATATTGGCGTTATATGTGTCAAGATGTGATCGTCCACATCCTCTCCCCATCCGTAGTTGTCAAGCAACTACGGAGCTGCGAGCAGCGGACGGGATCTCCCAGTGCTGGAGCCGTGATGGCCTTTAGGAACCTTATGATGGGTTTGGTGTTGATCATGAAAAATACTATGCTGCTGGTATCCTTGGAGATCTTTGAGTTGGGCTAGGTCTGTGACAAGGTGAAGGTCCGTCAAGGTCCCTCAAGGTCCATCATTTAGTCTCAACTAGTCTCAAAAAGTCTCATGATGATGGATCTTAACTCCAAAACCTGGTCCAAATGGTATTTCTGCGCCGCCTGATTCACTTGGAGTGGAAGTTCTCTTTCTCTTCCAGTTTCCTGTGAGTTGTCTGACCTCCACCTACCTACCCCCAGCAATCTTCGGCAATTCCACTCTCATCTTGGGCCACTCCGCGAACAAATCAAACAATTACACCAAACCACAAAGAGCTGAGATAAAACGTCCTCATCTCTCCTTCAAAAGCTACCAATTATCATGATTCGTCAGTTACCACTATCAAATACTATCAACCAATCTCAGAAAATGACCCCAAACTGCTCTGTCTACACACACGTGCCTGGCCCAGCACATCGACCCCCGAGCCGCCGAGGCGCGTAGACCCGAGCTGCGTACTGCAGCACCACCGCGTCGCCCGAGGGGCCGCGAAGCACTTGGCCTCGGATGGAACCGAAGGTCATATCATCTCATATCTAAAGGCTAAAACAATTCCCAAGCAAACCCTCTAAGGTGCATCGTTTTGCATTTATCAGGTGTCCTAGTTATAGTCATCTTTAAGCCACCAAGAAGCTAGCCCCCTCGCCTTCTTTTGGATTCTCCCTCGCCCTCACTGGCTTCAAAGGACTCGCTCTCACATGTTTGGGAGGAATGCCACAGGCTGCTTAGTGTCTTGAACACACCCTACAGATTCCGTGCAACTGATTTCTATGGTCTATACAATCATTGGACATCGAAGACCACCACACTATGGACTGCAGCTCAAACACAAACACACACATGAAAAAGCACATGGTCCGCTCTCTCTCTCTCTCTTTCCTGCGTGTGCAATCCCGTGACCGTCAGTGTGGAAAACAAAAAACAAAGCAGTGAGGACAGCTCAGTCAAATGGCGTGGAGTACACTCGAAGTTTGGGAGAGGTCAGAATGAGACTTGAAACCAAACGTCGCTGCCCTCAGAATCAAGAAGCAACTGTCAAGGATCTTCAATCCTGGATAGCTAGGTCCTCTGAATACTTCAGGAGGCCCAGAATATGTTCTTGCTGCTATCTAATTTGGATTATTTTGGACTGATTTATCAACTTAAACCATCTGACGCAAAGCTAGTTTTTGGACATGCGATGGCCCCCTTCATTATTGATTTCAACTGGTGCAGAGGACCAGGCCCGGTCCAACAGTCCAAACAAGATCGGATTGTTCTGAACAAGCTGAGGAGTGCGCGTTGGCGCATCGGTTCCTTGAAAGTTCTGGAAGACATGTGTTTGTTTTTTTTCCATTTTTTCCTGGCTTTTCATTGAGTTCTGGCAGTGGCTCCAGCTCTCTGCAGTCATCACACCCAGCTACCTGCCCTGCTCTGATGAGTGGTGCCTGGAGCCAGGCGCTCAGACTAAAGCTAGGGCCTCAAAGGTGAGATCGTTCTTTCATGAACAGCACTGAAACCCAGATGAGGCACGAGCTCGGCCGCCAGGTGGCTCTATTTCTCCCGTGACACGAGCTCGTCCGCATGACGGATCTGTGTGTCCGGACACTTGTTGCACCTGGGCCTCCGAGGGAAATTCACATTACCTCGGCTCTCAACGGGTGGCACCGGTCAGCCCGGTTCGGGTCCGTCCGAACGGGACCTGCAGCAAACATGCATGGTATAGGTGGTCTCTCAAAGGCCTGGGTCTTCAGCAGAGAACTCGTCCCAACGAAACCATGTAAAATGGTAAAACTAAGATCATTAAAACGATTTAAAACCGGTAAGTGTGCAGTTAGCTGGTCAAACTTGATGGCTCGAGTTCAGGTTTCTCGGGGCTCATATGACGTATCAAACAGCTCTTCTTATCCACCTTGCCTTGACTATTGAGATGTGAATTGTGCACCTGCAAAAATAGTTGGTATAGATGAGCATAAATGTGCAAACCGACCTTCACGATATCACTCACCGACCTTATCAATGGGCCAAACCCAGCATCACAGAGCCGCGCCCAAGAGGTGTGTATATCAATCATATCAAAATAGCCAGGCCCAAGGCGCCCAAGGTGCACATCTTTCAACATGGGAGGCTTTATGAAGTGACCCTCCTTGACCAACTTTTTGGGTGTGGATCCTTTCTGGGGTCTTCTGGGCAATGAAAGAGACGGCATTGACGGTATGGCCCCCCCAAAAAAAGCAAAAACTACCCTTGCTACTGATACTGTTACCCCCCGCTTGCCATAGTCAAACCGCCTAATTTATTGATGTGTGTGTGCTCGTTGGTCTTCACCCTCTAAATACAATAAGATGATCACAGGACACCATGGGTCATGATGCAACATGAATCAAACAGCCATCCCATCACAGCCGCGCACTCGTCTCGCTCCCACCGCCCCACCGGTCCCACTGCAACCGCCAAGCCACCACAGCTCTCACACCGCCAGTTGCCATCCTGTCGCGAAGGTTCGGGCTCGGGCCGGGCTTGGGGACGCTTGCAGTTGCAGTTGAGTCAAGGACGGTTATATCAAGCGAGTTACGAGGGCACTTGGTGCATTGGTTTGAATAGATGACACCAACTCGAAGCAACGATCAACTCGAAGTCCAGGTCAGCTCCAGGGCTCTTGGTTTTTCACAGTGTAAGATCGCGGCGACAGATCCGTCGTGGGGAGAGTCCAGGCCACCTAGAGAGGGGGCAGCCACATGGGGTGGTGCCAAGTTGGCTTGCAGCGGCTTGGGTGTTCTTACTAGGGGCGCCACTGGGGTTACAACAAACATATTTAGAAAAAAACATGTTTTTTTGTATTGTAGAAAAGGTGTCCATACTGATGTGCAACCGCTGAATATTCAAAACCTGACGATTCAAATATTATGGATCCTGACATCGAATTATGTGATTTCTTGTCCCGCCCTGCCCCCCCTCCAAATAACATCACTGGGAGTCATCCTCCTTAAACTCATCAGGTTTTGAATAATCAGGTTTTGGGAGTCATCATCATCTTTATTTAAAAACCCAAGGCGGCAGCACAACTAGGACCCAGGGTAGGTCGATATGGTCAGTTTCAGGACCTGTCGTGAGGGTCCAATGCTGTCCATGGACGCCTGGGCATCCCTCTCCAACCCCCATAAAAGCTCATCCGGCACCAATGCGATGATGATTCAATTTAGGGCGGGGGGCCGGTGTTGCAGCAGGGCTTGGTGCATTGTAGGACTTTGAAGTCTTGAACCATCTGAAGCCCACGAGCAACACGTGAGCAACATGTTCAATGTCCCGATCCTGAAGGGTGTGGGTCAAACACTACAACCTTCAAACTCCAGCAAGCATGAGGTAAACATCCACAACTCTCCATCCAAACCTGGACTTCTCTGTTTCTTGTGGCCTGTTTGGTGTCCCAACCCCAACCCCGTCTTTTTCGAAGCTCTCCGCTGCTTGCACGCCGAGGAGCCTTCCGCGCCGCACCGGCGCCGCACGGGCACGGAAGGCCGAAGGCGCAGCCGCGCGAGCGGCAGCGGCCGCGCTAGTCGAGGAAGGCAGCGCCTGCGGCCTTGGCCGCCAAAGCATTGGGCGCCTTCTCAAAGGGCACCGAGGACCTGGGTTGGCGGTCGAGGTCCGGACAGATGGTCGAGGTGAAGATCTCGGAATCACCATGGGAAGCAAGTTTGTGCAGTTTAAGCATGTGTAAATATGTTTGAGATAGACTCCCACTCATCATTCAAATCATCCCAACAAACCCGACTTGAAGCTTCTAATTAGCCGCCTCAAACCCTTGCAGGGAAGCAGCTGGTACCTGGTATCTGCTGTGTAGTTCTTACCACCCCAGATCAGCACAACCTGAGAAGGACACGGAAAGGGCCTTAGGGTTTAGCTGTCCCGGGCCAATGTGCCACTTGCCACCCAACAACTATGATTGCCGGAGTAGACATGGCGAACCGCAAATATGATCAAATGTGATGCATATATATATATATATATTTGTTTAATATATATTATAATACCTCCCTGGAGTGTGGACTCCACCCCTACGCCTACACGCCTAAACTGGATCTTAGATGCTCAACTACAGACTGCGCACCCACAAATCGGCTTCCGTCCCCCCTTCATCCGCCCAACTCATGCACCATGATCACCATGGCCCGCCCGAATGCGGGTCGACACCTCCGGTGCCTGCCGACACCACCGGACTGATGCGGTGCAGTGGCGGGTCGGCGTCACGATCCAAGTACCAGAAAGTGCACGCGAAACGATCTGGGGAGCAGGATGGAGCAGGAGCGGATCGGGGGCGCGGAGCATGCTCGGTCTTGTTTTGTTGCATCGCAAGCTGTTTGTAAGAAGAAATTGGATGTGATACAGTGTTGCAGTGAACAGAAAGGCCTGGGGCCGGGAATTCCATCAAACCCACATTATGGAATTCACAATCTACTGGTCCGCCATGTGTATGCCACTCACTGAAACCTGACACCACTCCCAGCACAACTCCCGGTTCTGGTTTTTCGCACCTCGTTTCGGTGGCAGCACCTCATGTGGAATCTCATCGGCCCAGAAGCACAGCAAGCGATTCGCGTGTGGCAGCAGCTCTGCGCGCACCTGCAAAGGTGGCTTCACCTGCGTGAGTGACTGAGCAGGGGCGCAGGTGACTGGACACTGCGGGCAGCAAAAGTCCGGTAGGCAGCAAGCAAGGAATGCTGCTTCTTTTTTCCACCACGAGCGAAAGGGAGGTTTTGGGCGAGATGGACATGAATGTACGACACATCAACCTGCAACGCCTGAAACTCTGGAAGTCCTTCCAGCTGAAAAACCATTTGGTTGGAGGCCATCGCTAGTAGGTTGGAGGCCATCGCTTCTAGAACAAAGAACAACAGGCAAGAACGATCTTATATAGCTAGGGTTCATAATAAAACACAATACCCAAAAATAAAAATGTAATATACATATATATATATATATTCTTTATCAGTCACTTTACTTTTGTAGAATAACTTAATGGTATATTTATAGCTTGCTATCAGCGAAAGCTTGCTACCCTCGGAGGCGCCTCGAAGAGCCGGATGCCGCCGCCATCGCTGGGTTGCCAGTCCGGATTCAAGTAGAGGATCGTCGTGAGGATTCGCCCGCAATGGCCTCCGGCGGGAGGCCAACGGCGACGGCCGGATGGCCACGTCACGGCCGGATCGCCTGGGTAAAGCAACTGGAGTTCGGATCATTTAATGAATGCTCTATAGCTTTTTATAGCGACCTAGTGCATCTTCTGACTACGGAGGCTCTTCTGGTACAGTACAGCGCGTAGTGACTGGGAATCGATCTTGGAAGAATGTTGAACTCCTTGGAGTCGTAGGGCCCGTCTGCTCCATGCTAGACTCCCAACTCACAAACGTAAGCGCTGGCCACCACCTAATTAGCACTGTCTATTCAAACTAACACATGCAGTTTCAATTCTGTCCTGCAATGATGGTACAGTTACCTCCTAATTTAGAGGGAACACTAGCAGCGGGAACACTAAAGGGAACTAGAATGGCCTGATACTGGTAGAGCCTGTCTCCAGTGAGCTCAGCGCGTCACTTCCTCTGAGTCTCTCCGCACCTTTGGCGCGCTCGTTGTCCAGGTGTCGGAGGTATCCCCGTGCAGAGCTGCTCGCACAAGGCCCAGCCCAGGACTGGAGCGCAGCGTATGCCGGCGCCACGTGGTGGTGAAGGCTTTGGTCGCGCTAAGGCGGGTCAAGATGCGTCCGAATTGATATATTGACTTGGGTTCTTGACATGGTATCACTATGCAGCAACTGACTCTCACTGACTATCAAATGTCCTGTGGAACATCGTGGAAGAGTTGCTTCATCAACTGACTCTCACTGCCGTATCAAGTCCAACGGTGCCTTCAAGTGGTCAAGTTGGCCGGCCAGAGAGGTCTCCCGCTTTCCATGGCCTTTGAAAAGTCACCACTTAAATCCACCTAGTTTCTTTTGTTGCTCGTAGCTTCTTGTTCCTGGTAGCGATGGCCTCCAACCTACTTGTGATGGCCTCCACCTTTAGTAGCGTCCTTGTTACTCTCATACCACGCCTTATTCCTCTCCATGTTTCGTTTGGCTCCACATGGACCCCCATCCTCCGCTCCCCCCCTCTCCGCGGCCTCACCCTGAGCGTCCACCAGCTCCGCGGCCTCGCGGGCTCCGGGGTAGCAGGTGAACATCGCATGGCTCCGGGTGCGGATGCAGCCCATGCGCTCTGGGAACCTGAGCGCAGCGGCGAAGCTCCCTCCCGCGGACCCCGCGGCGCCCGGAGCGCCTTCAAGGCGAAGATGTCGCGACTCGTGTTGCGCCGGATGCGAAGCGGATGGCCATCCGCGCAGGATTCTGCAGGTTTCGAAACCGAAGATGACTCTAAGGCTTAGGTGATAGCAGGCTCACGGCGGGCGTCAGGCACAGCAAATCACTCCCATCTCTGCAATCATCATCAACCACACGAACTTGTATTATGCATTGCTGTCGTCCATAGAGAGGATCGCCACATACCACCCACATCCACCAAGCATTCCAAGGTCCTACCGTGTTTCACCCACATTCTTCGAAGGAACATGGAACATGCATGACCAGGTTCCAGCAAACCTGGTTCCGGCCCATGACCGACCGGCGAGTCGGATTTCCGAGGCCACCGGTCGTTGGTTCCGGTAGTTTTGGTTTCGGTCGAAGCGTGAAGCGCCGTCAAGCAGCTCTGGCGCTAAGATCTCGGCCACCAGGGTATCAATCTGCTCGAGGACCTCGGATCGGGCCGAATAGGGGAATGCAGGGGGGGTCTTTGACTGGAGGGTTCCAAGGGCAGTAGTGAAGTGATCCTCAGTGCTGAACCATCCATCCATTCTCAAGACTCCAGGTCCTTCCAGTCAGTTGTGATCCTCTTGCGAGTTTGCTTTTGGATGTTCGGTCTTCCAAACCCACCTGAACAATACAAAACGGCTGGACGACTGGGAGGATTCTCCAGAACTTCAGGGTAGGGAATTGACAACCCGGAAATATATAATTAACCTTCACATGTCCTCCAACACCCCAAAGATCCAAGCTTCACGATGTTATACCCCTCACATCGTTGCTTTCAGGTTTACCTTGTAAACACTTGGTCAACCCCTCCAAGTCTCCGAGACTTGCAGACTTTGCACGAGACTTTGGAGGCAAGTGCTGGCCCCTACAGGCCAGCGCCGTCCAAAAAAAGGAAACACGCGTCGCCTTCTGTAAACCCGCCCGCAGGCCTCTTTCAGTTCGGGGATGGAGGCCGAGGACTGGCCTTCCTGGGCTGAGAAGCAATGCGGCTGTTTGACAAATTCGGCGGCTGTTTGTCAGTAGGGGTTGTGAAGAACATCAGTTATTATATACATGTTATTATTACAGTTGATTCAGGCCTGCTCCTCAAAAAATCACCTGCAGGCTGTCACCTCGAGGAGATTGAAAGGTGCAAGGCTGATGCACGACTGGAACTTTGGCATCAATTAGGGTGGGCAGCCACATCAATGAACTCCTGATATTCCACAACCTTCTCCTTCAGATCTTCTTTCGAACACTGGCTTCAAAGTGGAAGAATCCGGTCCATTCAATTCTGGTCTTCCTTCGACTTCGCTCCTCTGCTTGCCAACGGAGCTCCTCTGGCCTCATGTTCTCCAGCGCTTCCGCGGCCGGATCACGGGTGTTGACCCAAAGGACTGCATCACCACGCGCAAAGCTGGCCTGAGCAAAGCACCACCGAAGACATCAGCTGTAGGAACAGCCGCATGCTCACATAGGAGTCCACACCCATTCTACATTGTATACACCTTCAACTCCTCTCCCCTTTTCTCAACCCCAGCTATATGCTCATAGCAATGCGACTTCCAAGCGGCGCCAGTGCTAAGCTTCCCTTGACCGAACTGCTTCTGCTGCAGGGCCCTGGAGGCCACGCTGCACAGCTGCTCCGCCAGGCCTGGACCCGAGCCGTGACCGGACCCAGGCCTGAAGCGCCCGATCTACCGCGTGGAAACCGCGTGGAAACCGCGTTTTCTGCAGATCTGTGCAACACGCGGAGAGAAGCGGGGAGGGTTGGAAACGGTTTTCCTGTTGAGAAAGGCAGTGGGAAAAAGAAGGAACAAGAAACGATTACTGATTACAGTTTTGCAACATCAAGTGGGAAGGAGAAACCCAAGTCTCACCACACATGACCAGAGAAAATTTAGAAGGCAAATATAGCAATAAACGTAATAAAACACGCACAAAACAACATGTAAACATATTTTAAACAAATGGTGATTGCACATGACCACTCACATGACCAGCCCCCAGTCCTGAATGGAGGTGACACGGTATCCAAAATCCAAGCTGCTGGCCGGTAGGAAGTTGTCCAAGACCAAAAAGCCATGAGTCTTCAGCATGCCTAGCGGCTAGCGACGGATTGAACCACCTATCGCATATGTGCCAAGTGTTCTTAAGAATTCTTACCTTGGCTGCTAGCTACTTTGGAATGGGCTGTGCTTCAAAAAAGACCACCCCAAAACCACGTTTTTTGTCCAGTCTTCCCGCTCCTGTAACGAAATCCCTGGGGAGCTTTGCCATCAAATTGCTGTTCCGCACTGATGCGTAAGTAAGTACTGGAATGGCCAATCAGTGGCACAAATCATTCAAACTTGAGAGAGACATGTCGTATTTGTATTTGGACATCGCTTCAGATGTGTCCTTTGTGGGCAATAGCAGGCTTCAGCCCATCCAAGCACTTCACCTTCGCCCTCCTGCCACCCCACCGGGATTTCGCGGATCTCACGCCAACAGCTGTCCTGTGATCGTTCTGCGGTGCTCTGGCTGTCGCCACCAGCCCGATGCCACGGCAGCCTCCTGAAGGGGCCGATGCCGTAGACATACGAGGTCTTCAATGGAGGTTCAAACATGTTCAAACCATCAGCCTCTGAGTTGATCAAGGAGCATCGCTGTGTTGAGAAACGAATTCCCAAGACATGCAAGGGCCAAAGCAATAAATGCCTCGTCGGGAATCCGAGGGGTCCTGCACTGCTCGGAGGCTAGAAGAAGCTGCAGGGCTGCGTGGATGACATAGGAAGCGCCAGTACTCCCAAGCGTAAGCGCCCCACCACCTGGCAAAACCCAGAACCCGAATTACCCAAATCCCGTCCTGCGCTGTCACTCTGTGGTGAACCCACTCGGGGAATTGAAACTTGCACCAGAAACTTCAGGAGATCTGACGTGGTTGTGTGAAGCTTCCAAAATCTTCCAAAGGCCCAACAGTCACCCCCTTGCAGCGCTACATGATCCTCTCAAGAACTCGAACCCCCCATGGCACTGCTCGTTCCTCGCGCGGACGCTCGCTGGGCCATGGGCGCCTCTCGCCCAGGAGCGCTTGTAAATAGTCCCACGTGTCCTGGGCGCTTCGCCAGCTGCTGAGGGGGAGATCCAACTGAAGGTGCTCCTCTTGCGGTGTGCTTTTTCTGCTCATACACCCCATTTCTCAGTCGTGCACTTCTTTTGCGGGCTTCATGAAACCAACATCACAAATAGTTAATGAAAGTGAATGACAATAATTGTAAGTAATATTAGCTCTCTCAAATTGGCACCTGCAAAGAAACTCCCATCCACCTACACAGGGAGAAGCAAACACAAGGTAACAACCACCAAATAAGACATCATTAAAATAGTTCATCTCAAGTGAAGCCCCGATCAACCGCGGGAAATACACCAATCCGAGTCGTCTTGTCCTCTTCACTGCACACCTGCAGGTCCCTGGATCCAAGTCGCCCATTCGTTGCTGCGGCCGATGCTGGGCGGCTGCAGCGCCCAACGCCCCAGCGGCACCGCCTCGGCGCCGCCGCGGCCCGGCAGCAGCGCCCAAACGGGGACGGGAGCGCCACCCTTTCGGCACGAGCAAAGCACGCAGCACAGAACATCTGGTGGTGCTATTTTGCAGGTGGGCTGGGGGTGTTTTACGTGTGTTTGAGGCTTTGCATGTGTTACGACTTTGTCACTGCATGCGCGAAACCCCTAGGCTTGAAAGGCGTCACCCCACATGAACCTCTACGACTTCCTTCATTTTGCGGAATGCCCCCCACCCAGCCTCAGAAAGAATCCACTAAGATGTTCAGATCAAGCTCCATTTCAGTGCAGCTTGCTTAGGCAGTGGTGCAGGGTATCACTTGATCACCAACGAGACCTTCCCACACTGACAGGTGCTTAAAGAATAAGGGTGGCTGGATCCTGGGGCATTGACAGGGGTGTCCCTCATTCCCTACGTCCGGAGACACAAGAGACGCCGCGCAGCTCAGGTGTTCCGAACGCGAAGAAAAAACCGCGGAGCGCGTGCCGGACATGAGGAGCCTCCTCGCTCGGCACGCCCTTGGGGCTTAAGAGATCCAAGGATCCGAAGAGCTCCTGAGGAGAGGCAAAGAGGTCTCTGGGAAAGAAGTCATACTTCCCCAATTATTGGGTATGCATGATTCTAGACATTCAAGCCCAAGACACTGGGAATGACACATCGAAGAACCATGAAGAAACCCACAATATGGCCAATATGAAACCTATTGAAACCTGACTCCCTCCTCCCCAAAACAAAAGGATAAATATATACAATATATCAGCTTCATTCCTTGGAGAACGGAGCCCACCGCCTCCACTCCCCGACTCTCCTCCAACCGCTCCAGGAAGGCCACCGCCTCATCGGAGCCGTCGTGGCCCAGCCTCGGTCCGCGTCGTGGGGTCGAACAAAGGAAACACGTGGTGTGGAACTGGACAGCAGGTGCAAGTACAAAGGCCAAGGCGGCAACCAGTGAAACATGGCGAAACTGATATATGCAAAAACGTGCAGCTTTAGAGGAAAAAGGATAGCAAAAGGTGGAGAACTGATTCACGTGCGACCAAAGAACAAAAAGAAGCGCACACATTGTGATCACTCCTGAAGTCCTCCGCATTCCTCCGCTGTGACCAGCTTTGGTCGCAGGCGGTGTGTCTTCTTTTGTCGCTACTGTGGTTGGTTTGAACCTCACATGGGCTCCTGTGAAGCTCCTTATATATGCTCCTTCTGTATCCGACCCAAAGGCCCCACATGGCGGTTCTCTGTTTGGAGGTGACCTGAGACCCAGCGCCGCGCGGCCCGGTCCGCTCCGGCGAGCGTCCGCACCGCCGGCCGCTCGGAGCGGCCAGCCACCAGAGAGGTCAGCCGCGGGGAGAGGGAGCGGCAGGGCGCCGTCTTCGGACGGACGGGACAGGATGCTTCAGACTTCCCGAGGTTTGAAGGAGTTTGTAGAGTCTATTAGAGATCCATTAGAGATCTCTAGAGGTTTAAACACCCTCCTCAGCCAAATTCACACCAAGCTGGAGGGGTGGGTTTCAGCAGTCACTTAGATGTTCAGGGGAATGGGATAGAACATATCAAACGGCGGCGAGCTTCTGTGGTTCACTGCTCTTCCTGAGGTAGGCGAACCACCAAAAAAATAAAGGACCATACAGCACCTGCTATTCACCAGCTGACGATCCTTCTTCCGTTACAGCGGGCAGAGTGACACGCCCAGACTGGTGCTGTGTGTCCAGCAGTTGCTTGGACAGCTTGGTGGAAGTGGATGGTGAGAACCCAAAAAACGAAACTATCACTGTCACTAAGAGGTTTTATGAGGTTTCTACGATGACTATGACCAAGAGCTTGCTACCTGCCATCCTGCACGGAACTCCCAATGAACAAGCCGAACGCCTGCCCCGCCGCCCATCGTCCTTTGCCTCACCAGTGAAGGAGAAGGCCGACAGCGACCAAGCGCTGAGCGCAACGGAGAGCACCAGTGGCGCAGAGCACCACGCAACATGGCGGCCGCGTTGAAGATCACCTGGTGGATCAGGTTCATCTTCGACCCAGGTGGATCGACGACGCAAACAGAGGGCTCATGTTGCCAGGTTGATTGCCACGGGATCTGGACAGAATGATGGACCCCCGAAGCTCCCTTTTCAGAGCAGAAAACTGACCATTGCGCTAACGTGGTGATAGCACTGTTGGTTTGCAGTTGTGACAGCGCAGTTAACAGCAAATCTGCTGTGTCCCTCTTGGATTGAAAACCTTCAACTTCCAGCAAACAGGAGAAGGAAGAGAAATCCTAAGCTTGAGGGTTCTTAGGCCTCAAAAGGCAATTGACGTGCAGCACGCTCTCCCTTCTCCTGTGGCGAATGCGTCTTTGACAGGGGCTGGCCGTGGTTGACCTTTTCTATCTACACTCCCAGCTACTAACGTGTCCATGCAATATGACTGCGCTTAGTCGGAGATGTTCATTTCAGCCTTGATAGTTAATAGCTGAAAGGCCTTTCAATGTCACTGGTGTTGCCATAGCCAAGCATCACTACGATATGACATTTCCGCGAAGACGGAGGCCCTGGAAAACAACATGTCTCTACAAACCAGTGGTTGAAAGGTTCTACTATGTTCCAGGTTTAATTCTCGGCAGTCTGGATTGACCAAAGCCATGGAGAAAAAAGAACTGCATCCACCTCCAGTGCCGCATCTGGTCATCTGCCCAGCGCAGCACTGGGTCGCCGATCTCCAGCCATGGCGCTCCAAGGTGGGTCACACGAGTGCTGAGGATCACAAACCCCTGCAGTCCGACTGACCGGTTGTACCATCCTTCCAGTGGTCTGAAGCTAGGTCTGGTCAAGGTGGTCCTTGACCAAGGTGTTTGCCACCTAAGTTAAGCTGCCCACCATCCACCTCGTCCGAAAACCATCCAAGCATCACCAACATTGGAAGCTTAAGGACCGGTCTTTAAATACAACCGATCCGACCTGGCCGTGGCGCTACATTCGCCAGGAAGCATACATGCATACATCATCGCTCAGGCAAAAGTCTAGCCGGAACACATGTTGCAAATAGTGTTGCAAATATCTGTGCTGAGTGACGAGGGCTTCGCAAAGCTTCTAGCTGAACATTTTCTGCGGATGGCCATCGGTGGTTGCGACTACATCTCCGTCAAACGTCTACCCGCCGCTACTGGTGGTAGGTAAAAATCTGTTCCCATGGGTTCGCCTGTCCAGCCATACATGCCATGCACCAGCCCTTGAGAAACAACATCGATATCACCCTCCTTTTTGGTGAAAACATCCTCAGTCCGCCCTGAGACGCACTTCATCTTCCCCACGAACCCCCCTTTCTCACCCGGATGCTTTCTCCCTTTGGCGTTGGCACGGGCGTCCGACGCGCGAGAAAGGAGCGTCGGTCCTGCATGCTCTCAGGCCACTGGTGGCCGCTCTTCACGGCGGGATCACCGTAGACTCGCCTCGCACCGCGACCGAACCGGTCGGAACGGCGGCGACGAACCGGGAAGTTCCGGTCGGAACGGTATAAGTAACACGTGTGCGATGGTGTTTTTACGACGTGTTTTTGGGCGACCACTGTTTGGACATGGTTTTAAACATCGCAGGGGTTTTTGCTCTCCTGTTGGGATGCAAGCGCAACACTCAGAAGCACATACAATCCCAATGAGGTCTATGCCATCTATGTCTTTGTTGCCATCGGATGGCGGAATCATTGCTTCTTTCTTATGGAGCATGCTTATGTGTGCAGAATTATTTTTGGGAGCTACTGCTCCATGTGCATCTCACCAAGTCTGAGCTGTAACACCTTCAGGTCATCAAGGCACAGTCGCGGATCAAGACCACACTGCCCTCTTTCCGACTTCAATGGGATGTCGGAGTGTGAACTTTAAAGTATATGCACTGCATACAAGCTCAGTTCTGGATTGGCTCTTCTAGTGATTCTAGTGCTCATGTGTCTTCAAGGAAATAAGGACGGACACCCAACAAACAAAAGACTACATGGCCTGTAGCTAAAACTAGTATAATTTTAGTTACCTGTAAGCCCGCAACCGTATCCATCTTCGGGCTTCAACTGCTAGCCACAACTGCCTCCAACCACTGAGAATCCTGCAGGAAGGTGGAAGGGTTTTTGAATTCCTCTGGTGCCACCAACGCCTCGCGAGTCGTGGGCTTCGTGGTCGTGGTCCCAACGCCCGGTGCGGGATGTGCACCGGCCATGCGAAGGAACCATAGGAGTCTGAGGTTGAATTCGTATATGGGCATGGGTCAAAATAGGGTACCCCCAATAAGTAGACCAACATCCATTGCTTAGGGCTTCGCAATACCATCAAAATACCCTCTCCGTCAATGTGGACCATCGCCATGGGATGCTGAAACACCATACGCCCTCTTCAGCCAGCCGCCTCTGGGCTGATCGCCCTCCGCACGTCACAATCTACAGTTACAGAAACTCCCCCCAGAAATCCAGAAGAACAGGACACGCAAAAAAAAATCCGTCGCTCTGCACTTCCAGGAGATGGATCTTGGAAGTGGTCCCTGTATCACGAAAACATACCACCCACTTATCACCGGTACCTGCTGAAGGGGACGCTGTCTCTCCCTGTCGGGTTGAACCCAAAAACCAACGTACTACGGTTCGAAGTCACCGCAACTCATGCCCCGGAGCCGCGCGTTGCGCCGCGCCACTAACGCCCCCGGCCACGGCGGCGCAACCCACGCGGCGTCGGGAATTGGCACCTGAACGCCCCGTTGTGGGAAGTCGTCCTTCAAAGCACCGAAGGGGTCCTCGGCCGCGTGGTGATGAGAGGTGATGAGTGGGTGAAAAAGCTGCGCCTCAAAAAGCCCCATTTTGGGGGACTCCCAACAAATTCAAACATTCTGATCAAAAAGGTCGAGTCCATGGGCTTTGCCAAGGTCGGGTCAAACCCCTTGGCCAGCCTTTGGGTCCACCAGTGGCGCGCCCGGCTGGTCACCCGCCGCGGTTCCATGGTCCACCAGTGGCGCCGTCACGGCGTGTCACGGCGTGTCACGGCGTGTCACGGCGTGTCACGGCGTGTCACGGCGCCGTCCCGGCCGCCTTGGTCGGCTTGCGGTGAGGGCTCAAGAGCTCCAAGGCACTTTGGAGGCACTGAGATGCCTCGGGGCGTTTGGCATCGGCGTCCTCGAGAAAATTCGAGGTTTCGCCGTCAAGGGCTCAAGAGGTTTCGCCGTCAGAGTCGTTGATTTGTGGGTAGTGGGTGGGTCTCTCATTCACTGCACCATGTGGTGCGGTTCTCTTCCATGTGACTTAAGCCCAGCGCCGCATTGTGCGGATCTGCGAAGCCTGCACAATGATCAGCCCGGCAGGATCGGGAGGGAATGGATCATTGATTGTTCAAAGGTTTTTAAAATGTCAATAAATTCCCATGCATTGGAATTAAAGGGTGGCTTGGGCATATCGATTGAAATGTTCCTTGAGGGGACCCTTTTTCCATTTAGTGACATTATTGTCATACTTCTGTTTTATTCTCTAAATTGTGTTTTTGCATTCCGTATTTCAGCAATTCATCATATATTCATGTGTTTCAGAAAATACTTTAATATACTTTAATGCTCAATCCATGGCAAGCTCCAGGGTAACTATGTCTCAAAGCTAATACACATGTCAAAATCCTTGCTGCATGTTTCTGTTGCCTCTGACTTTTGACTGGAGACTTCAGAGCAGTAAAACACCCCCTGCGGGGTATTGCTTCAGTAACACCTGGAGGTCAACAACTAGGTCAACTGTATTCAACGGTAGCATGTTTGCTCCTTCATACTCTTTCTCCAACGGTCATTCCAGGTGGAGATATGGGTACCGGCGTCGCCCACTCTCCCCATCTCTCCCCCCAGTGCCGGTACCGGCGGACACCACGCCGCGGAACTCACCTTGCCGCTGGAACTGCAACAGCAGCGAGTCGGCGGTTTGCTGCGCTGCAGCTCGGACGTTCGCTGCTTCGAGTTGGCTGATCCGTGACCTCGCGGAACGGGAGAGGCCAAAGGAAGGTTTCGGAGGCCGCCGGTGCCATAAGCTGAAACACGGCTCTTACTATGCAGTGGCCAGTGGCCACAGGAGATTTTTGTGGTGGGTCTGTGATCTGAACAAGCAGGAAACAATGCTCGTCGAAGCTCTAACCCTGCAAGTTGCCACAGGGTACCTCCTCCACACGCCTTTCTACAAGCAAACGTTATAGACTTACACGAGATTTGTGCAGCCTAAGGCTAGTGAACAAGCTTGAGCAAATTCAAGAAGCCCACAGCGGATGAAGGTGTATATATATATATACGAAGATTGTAGACCGTTCTCCCAAATGAAATCATCGCGGAACATTTATGGCATTTTTGCGCGCCATCGGCGCGACAAACAAGGTAACAAACAACCGCAAAGCCGATGCACACGAAAGCTTGTTTCGACGACGTACAAAACTATACGAAACATTACAAAACTAGCACGACTCAGCAACATACGTGGTCTGTTGCATGGAATCCAGCACTCCGCGTGGGGGACAAGCGCACGGCGGATTCCTTCCCGTTGAATCGTCTCGTCGTTGCGTCGTAAGGCACCTGGGGGAAGAGGTGACCTCCTTCATCTTCACCGGCATCGGCGGCATTGGCGGACCAGCTTCACACCTATGCGGGGGCAGGCCATGGTGATCGAAGAAAGAATACTGTCAGCCACTGTAGCCCTTTGCAGTTCCTCTCGGTTTTAGTTCCGACAATAATAGTACATACTCCCGTCAGGACGTAAATGATGTCACCTCAACAGGGAAAAGTGTGAAAAACATCGGACTAGCCAAAGCAAGAAACATAGCTGTCACTTTGCTGATCTTCAACTACTGCTAAGTCTTCTTGTGTCGAGGTTTCTAAAATTGTAACCCCAAATCAAAAAGTGCAACTGTCCACCATCTCCACCCCCGCCTGCGGGAGGGGGAGGGCACAGGATCCTCTTCCGTCAGCGGCTCACCGCCTGGCTTCAAGCGGCCGCACCCTCCGACCCCGCTACGTGTGGGTCCAAAAGGGCTGGGGATGGTTGGGGCTTGGTCAACGTGTGTAAAGCAAAATCACAATCATCATCCAAAGGCTGCACTGTCCCAGTGATTGTCGCATTTTTCTCAGCCACAGAACCGACCACAGATTCCAATGACAAAGATTCTGAATTCGGTAAATGAAACGGTTGTTTAGTCGATGGCTTTTGCATCTTCCACACCCAATGCAGCAAGTGGGTTTCATGTCCCTCACCCCCAAACACACATGCCCACTCTTCCGGATCCACCCACCCGGCCCGGCTCCACACCCACACCCAGCGAACCCCGCGGCGTCCGGTGTCCGGTGCTCCTGGCTCCATGGGTTCGGGCACGAAGCTCCAGGAGGCTTGCGCCGCCGCCGCCGGCTCCGAGAGCGGCTCGGCCAGGGCCGCCTGACGCGGAGACGTGGAGATGCACCTAGGAGCTCCTGGCATCGCTACTAGGAGCGATCGGACGCTACTAGTAACAAGTGCATCGCTTCTAGTAACAAGTGCCTTACTAGTAGTTACAAGAAGCTACTAGGAGCTCCTGGCATCGCTACTAGGAGCAAGGACGCTACGAACGGGGCTCCTAGAGGGCAAGGCTCCAAAACACCTGATGAAGCCATGTGTAAACTACTGGCCTTCTGTCAGGTCCGGGTGGGGCATGACGTGGCGCCGTGTGATGTGGATTTAGCAGAAACTGCTTGGTTCACTCTCAATCGCTTTACAGGTGATTGATTTCAATGAAATAGTTCCCGTTGCTCCGTTCGCGCTTGCATCCAAAACCTATCAAAAACTCCTATCAATAGATGTCAGGTTCAACAGGAAAATCCTCACAATTTCGCGCCATGTTGATTGCATGCCAACCCATAGACCGCCTCGTCTCTCAGCAAACCCGGCTCGGCGGGACGTGGAAGGCACCTGGCTCAGAGCGGGGTGAAGAGGCGACAACACGCATAGACTGACTGGTGCTTAGTAGAGAATGAGGGAATGAGCCCCCAATAGAGATTCCTTTGGATCCATTCCCTCATTCCCTGCTAAGCACCAGTCAGTTGATTTTCATGCCGCGTTATTTGGCTGTGCCTACTCTGTGCCTGCCAGTTGTGGTCTGGGAACCTTCCGACATTTCCTCCTCCACCCTTGAACTGCAAAAGTATGCCCTCGGCTCCTGATCACTTCTTCACAACTACCAGCCACATTGTGAGAGCATCTTTATTCCACACGTAGGTCTTCAACATTGAATAATTTCGGAAGCCAAATGTGTACTGGGAACTGTCCTCCTCCTGCGGCCTTCCTCCTTCGAACCATCAAGACCTGCACAAGCCTCCCGACCTCCCAACCTCTTCTTGCTGTTTGGGCCTCCAAGCTGCCTCACACGCATCGCGGATCTCCGAAGACGGCCTCGCCTGGTGCTTTTGCCCAGGTAAATCCCCGGAGTCTTCGCATAAGCCGTGGAGCGTTTCGCCACCTCCACCAAAAGGCCCTGCCCTGGCAAGCGCCCGGTGCCCCCGGGCTGGTGTATTACTGCTTGCTGCTTCAACGGGCTGGTGAGGCTGCAAGGAATGAGGGTAGCTGGATGGATCCATCTGGATCCCAAGGTATCTGCATTCCTTTATAAAGGAGATTAGTCAGTCCCTAATTAATTCTCCACTGAGCACTATAGTCAGTATATCTGGGAAGGTGGGAACATCATCCAACTCCCGTCTGCGTGCCATGAATCTGGATGATGAATTATGGTAGGGTGGGTGATCTGTTTGCCGCTGAACACCCATAAGGCAACGTGCGAAGTTCGGCGTTTAAACCGCAAACATCTGAATCTGAGTTGTTCACCAGTTATAAATATAACATACTCTAATCAGATATAATATATACAGTGTATATATAGTGAGAAAAATGACTTCAAAAAGCCGTTCAGAAGCTGAAAAAAGAACGAAAAAAGTTCAACTTTCAACTTGCCAAGAAATCGCTGTGGGACGAAGGAGATCACCTCCCCAGACCGTCCCAGGGGTCCTTTTTCGAGGTGCAACTGCTTCAACTCAGTGGGTGCTCAATGGGCCCTATGACCAATGCTCGAGGACTCAGGCCATCCAAGGTGGAAACCCCCAGCTTCTGGGACTTGCTGCGTCAACCTGAAAGTCAGCATATCCCTAGCGCCCTAGCGTAAGTTCAGGACACTTGGAAGTGACTCAAACGCGAAAAGAACCGAAAAGACTTAAGTGGGACATGAGGTCCTAATGTCTTTGGACTTCATGGGTGCCCAAAGGGTATGTATACACCGTATGCCTCACTGGGTATCTGACTCCCCCACCTGCCTCCCAGTTCGGCACCATGCAACGCACGGATGCAGTCCTTGCGTTCGCGCGAAGAGTTGCATGGGAAACCACCTCTTGGGTCAGCTACTGTGGTTGAAATGTTCGGATGCAACAAAATCTGCACCTGAATTCTCCTACGCGCTGTTCAGACAGATTCCTACACCACTGAGAGCGCTTGTTCCCCCATAAATATCGCTGGCCCAATCTCCTACATACATGCATGTTTTTGTACATTCCCCTGGTTTGGTCTGCCAGGTACGTATGGTGCTGTTGAACATGATCTTCCTCCGGGTGCACGGGCCCCCGCCCAACCTCGCCTGTGCTTCTGACGCAGTGGTCATCGTCACCTCGAAGCACGGCGAAGGACGCACGAAGTGGACCTGGATGGACCTGGTGAATTCATAAACCTCACCCCATTTGGATGCACGGACTTGCGGACGATCCACGACGCCCCCACGCTATCCCTTGACAGGCTTTCTGGCGGGTAAAGGTGGGATGGGAAGGTGACACCGATTCAACATGTCAAACAATTCGCTAGACAGGGAACCAGGCAACTACGAAGGCAATGAGCAAGGAAATGAAGAACCAAGTCACGGTCACGAGAATGACACAGTATGCCCAACTCACCATGAGTCAAGCACTAATTGGGGCCAGGGTGCACGATCGTGTTGAGGTCTTTCTTTCTGAAAAGGGCATATCTTATATGCTGGGTGAATTGGTCTCTCTTACTTGGTTTGTCCACCCTCCCTCTGGAAGTGGATGGCACAGCCTCTTCGTAGAGGAAAAGAGTCTTCCTCCCGGGGCTATGTTCCACTTCCATTTTGGTTGAATGGAGGATAGCTGGAACATCTCTTGATTCTACTGTACATGTTGGTACATATCGCTGACCTAATGAGGAGCATCTTGGCAAGAACAATGTGTCTCTCGTTGCATGCGCCTTGGAGAGCTAATTCGCATGGCTTTCTTTCATCAACTGTCAACAACAACTCGATGCAAACATGAACAATACTCAAACATGATGGGGGAAGCATCATGGTATGCCGTAGACTTTGAGGTCCTTCAAGTCAGGTGAGGTTTGACACCACAATGAATATGTGGATCACACTCGTAAGCGATTGAGAATCACTGGGTGACCTCTCTCTGATCCGCCTGTCACAAAGGAGGGAGAACAACAACAGGTCCAAGTCACAAAGGCATAGCCCTTGTGGCAGCGCGTGAGCGGCTCATTGGGAATGTGCACATCCGCCACCCGGCCGTAGCTCCTGGCGTAGCGCGAAAGGGCCAGCTCCTGCCGTCTATAGTAAAACACGGTGTTCATCTCTTCCCTCTCAGGCTCCCCTATAGTACAAGTAAAAACCCCTCCCTCCCGAGGAAAAAACATGGAAAAAACTGCTTCAGTTGTGAATCTGTTCGAAGTGAACGTGCTTTGGCCATCGGGCTGGCCCATGGCATGGGCGGACGGCCTGAAACCGGCCTCCACGTTCTCAACATGTATGGTCACTAGATACTGGGAACGTGAACCGATTCACGAGAATGATTATTCACTATATTAAGTTAATATATAGATACACGGATACACTCCCGAAAACATCCGAAAACCAACATGGACACTGACAATGGGCCCCACTGGAAGATGGTTTTCCTCTATACCAACCAGTGGTTTCGGGGTCCATGTTAGTCTTCACGCAAGTCTGTGCCGATGTTGGGTTCTCCATGAGCCCGTCGCGCGTCCGGTGGTTCATCTCGGGCTTGACGACCTGGGACTCCGCAGCTCCCCTCCCGGGTGGAGAAAAACGGGTCCTGAAGATCTTCAAGAGGTCCTCCGGGCGAGGCGAACGCGATTGCAGCTGAGGAACCGCTCTGAAGAAGCCGAGATGGAGGAGCCGAAGGAGGGGCTTTTGCACGGTGGGTAGGTCGTTTCAGGATTCGGGAGGCCAAGAGAAAGGGTGGAAGCCGTGCCATTTGAACTTCTCCATGTTAGGGTGCAAGAGCTGAACCAAATCTTCCAAGTGCCATTCAGAGCATCACTTTTGACGTGCAAAACTGGCGCCAGTGATGGCTGGGTCTCTGCACAAACTCCTCGCAAAATGCTTTGGGAGAGCTGTGAATTGCGTGGCAAGCACCATGTCCAGCCAAAGGCAAGACTTCCGGTGGTGTGAAATGTCCTGGCAGGGCTAGGCCCTCCTTGTCTGCCAGGCTGATTGAACAGTCGAGCTACAGCGCACGCATGGGTGGTTTCTCACCCAGGTGCAATTGGGCGGAGACGGCCGTATTAGGCCACTTCTTCAGCCAAACATCTTGGAAAAGACTTTCTTCTGGCCTTCCTTCTGCTTGGTCCTTGGTGCCAAAATGTGACAACACCAGAGCTACATCCCAAAAAAGCACCTGATGCACATGGGAAAAGTCGACCAAAACCGTTGAATCACCATCGGGTCACCCCTTCCCGGTGCATCGAATCCATTGATCAAATGCGAAATGCATCCAGGTGAATGATCCATCCCAGTCCATCTTTGGATGGAAACACACACGCCATCGATCAAGCTTTCATTCTCCGGACCCCCAGGTTGAATCGAAGCTTCAGCAGCTTTTGGAGTCGATCTTGAGACTTCTTGAGGTCCGCGTCTTCCGGCGCCACCCCAAGGCCCTTCTTGATGTCCTGGGTCAGACCAAGACGTCACACCGAAAACGTGCAAACCAGGGGAGATAGAGCAAAGCTGCAACCTGGGGCCGGGTGGTCAAGCTCCCAAAAGTCAAATTTGAGAAGACCGAGATCTCAAACACACCATTCCAGCTCTAAAGTCTTTTTGGATCCCATCCAGGGACCTCTTCTTGTATCTGCATGAGTGACTGCCAACCAGGGGATCTAGTTCGGTCACTTTGAAGAACCAGTGTTCATTGGTACAACAATGGTTCGGATATAATATAATATATATATATATATTACACTATACATATGTATTGCTGTGGAAGTCGGAAAATGAAGCTGGTCGCAGGTCCTTCAGCGAGCTTGCCAGGTGGGTTGCCACAGGACCAGCTGAGGTGCAAAAGGGTCACCAGCAATAGATTTCACTGATTTCACATGATTTCACCAACATCTGTCACGTTCATTTGAGAGCAAGAAAGCATGAATCACAACATGCATCCAAAATCATCCAAATACGGGACTACGTCCGGTTGAACATCCAGACCCCGGTCGATTTGGCGCTCACGGTCGGTCGGTCGCGTAGCGGTTTCACACGCGTCTTCGGCCGGTCCTTCAGGGCATCCTCTAACTCACCCAGCCTGGTGCGGTTACAGACGGCAGCAAAACCGGTGGGTTGTTTGGGTGTGGAAGATTGATTGAAGGCGGGCCTGAGGGATTAAAAGAGAAAAACCTCGCGGCCATCTAGCCGCTTGCATCGCCAAGGTGCTTCTCATAGCAAAGGCTTCTTCTAAAGATGGCCTTGATGCTGCTTGCATCCAGTTCCTAAGATTCATACATTTGCCACAAACTCTGACTCCATCAAGCCTAGAGGCACTTCATTTGTACTTGGACTGTTCCCCATAAGTCAGTCCAAGATGCTCAGGTCTCCTTCAGATTCTGCCAACAAAAACATGGTGTTCGAACATGTGTTCAGCCACTGGGACCTGTCTCAGAGACTAATCGCATAGGAAGGCTCCAACACATCGTCACAGGAGGTGCGCGCCTGCACCACACGCAGCAAAGACCTACGGAAAATGCCGCCAGCTCCCTGGTGCTGAACCTTGCCCTATAGGCCTATAGGCACCCGGGCCTTCTTGTAGAACAGTTCGGCTGCATTCTTTCCACCAGATTGGGTGGCGGCCTCACCAGCCTTGATGTAGCCTCACTCATCGGGTTCACTTCGAAACACTTCCGAACGGGCCTGGCCCGGCGAACCTGGAACCTTCCCGGGTTCAGTGGTCCAAACCCAGGTGACACCAACATTCAACGTTCAAACCGTATGCTATGTGGAAGCTTGTGGGTCAGGCCATCAACCGATTCCGTCTTTCACATTTCGAATCGGGTCTTGAAGGTGCCAAGTCACACTGTGCGCTGTTGAGATGGCAAGACACCTGACATGGCAAAACCCCGCAGACCAACAAACGTTTTTGATATAAAGAGTCCAAACTTGGCATACGTTATAAGTTCCAAGAAGGATATCAAGAATGAAGTGCAGTCAATACTCGGCCAAGGCGGAAACATCCGGGCACCCTCCAAACCATTCCAAAACCCGAAAGGAACATTTAAACAACTACTATGCAAACTAACATTCACCCGTGGAAGACCATTTTCCTCTGCAACCCAGTTGGTTTTTGGACTTCATGTGGTCCCCTGCAGAGGAGTAGACCATGCCACCTACAGTACCTGGGCCTTGGAGAAACCCCAGAAATGACGAGACGTGCGGCTGTCTGTCCCTTGGAGGTCGGCCTTGTGGATGGCAGACTGGGAAAAAAACACTTCACTTATTATTGGCAGGCGAACTGCAGGCCAAACAGGGAAGCGCCTTTCAGGTCGATACTATACCTTGACGGTCCTATTCTTTCTTTATGTTTTGTGTAGATTCAGCTTTCGACCTCGTTGAACACCTCCCAAGTTACATTTCCCCACATCCACCGCAGCCCAACTGAAAACGCTCACCCGCGCCGGGCCCTGCCGGGGACCCAAAAAAACACTGCGACTCCGCTGCACCTGCCTCCAAAACTGTGACTCTCCAGCAACCCCAAAAAAAGCTACTGGTAACAATAAAGCTACGAACGGAGCGCTCGGACGCGAACCGCCAAAACGGGGCTCCGATCGCTGGCGGCTCCTGGCGTCCGCTGGCGCCTTGATCTTCTTGGCCTCCTCCGCTTCTTCGGGCGTCAAGTTGCTCTGCACCTCTGGCCGGCTCACCTGAGGTGGGCGAACCGGCCACCGGGCCGAGAGATCCAAGAGAAGAAGAGTCCCGGTGGACACGGAGTCCCTAGCAGTGTTTGATGGCGTTTGTTGCGTCTGAGTGTCTGTAAATGGTGCTGGTGTCCAGAATGGCTAGAATGGTTTGTGCTGGTGATCCGCGATGGCTTTGAGGTCCAAAAACCTTCACATCTGTACGAGTCCCAGCCGCATGCTCAATCGCTTTCTTGTATCTTCTGACTGCCTTAGTCTTAGTGGCAAAAAGCTCACCATCACTTTTGCACAATTCAATAGTCATAACTCATAACCATCACATGTCCTGACTCTATCTACAGGCTGCAAGAACCAGCTCCTTTGCTTGCAGCGCCCCAACTTAGGCACAACAGGTTTCTCATTTTCTCCACTTGGCCCCATGTGTGTGGTTCGGCGGGGTCGCCGGACTGGACCTCGCCGGGCTGCGTCATCGAACTTCTGCGCTTTGAACATGTCCTTGGTAAGGCACTCGGTGGAACTGGAAGAGGCATTAGAAACAAGTGCCCCGCTAGTAGTAACAGGTGCCTTACTAGCAGTAACAAGAAGCTACTAGGAACAAGTGCCACGCTAGTAGTAACAGGTGCCTTACTAGCAGTAACAAGAAGCTACTAG